TGCTAAATACCCTATATCAAACATCCCCATAATAAACTAGCTCGCTAAAAACTCTTACTTCATATGGCCAAACTCCTCTAAAACAGTGTCAGGAACCCGACGATATGATTGATATTTTTTTACCGCAAAGACAGCAGCTTTACCCGAAAGACCTTGTTCATAAGCACTCATATATCGAGTGGACTGATGTGCGTAATGATGAATCTTGGTGAGAGTAACCAATTCTAATGCCTGCGAGATGATTATCTTGAGACTCTTAAAAGAACAATCACAATGCAGACACGAGTATCACTTTGCCTTCCCCCAGAATGACTTAATAAAATTGAGCTCACAATGAAACTTCGAATAAAAAATATACATGTGGCCAACTGCTTCAATGATCTCTTGCAAATGGTTCTTTTGAGATGTGAAATCAGGTTGATAACCAAGAATACCAGTTGCACAGCATTGCGAGTTCATTGGATCAAAAGCATGTGATTTGCAAGCATCACATTGCTTCGCCAAACCTTCCACCCACAGGTCACGTTCTTTAAGAATTCGTCGGATACCCTTTGGTTTCGTTAAACTATCAGCATCGATAAATGTCAGAGTATGAGAAGAGCCATCAGGCATCTTTCCATCATGAAGAAGTAGTTATTTGCCGCCATCCTTCAAGTTCATTCGTGAAACTACCAGGGCATTGTCAGCATATGCACTGTGATTGCAACTATTATCGAACATGAAGAGCGTAATTTTGCCAGAATGTGTTTGCTCAAAAATTGGAATAGCTCTGTCAATCACTTGGTTTATAAGGTCTTGGTTCGTCCACCAGCCATCTTGATTGGAACCTGGATGCATAATAACACAGGCCTCGGTATGCAAAAGTCATTCACCATCAGGAAGCAAATCATTCACAGCTTGATCCTCTACCGAAAGGTGAAGATGTCTAATCAATTCACAAATAAAATCGCTCACATGAATACTGAGACCTTGTGACTTGCGCCAGAGCTGGTTTTCTTCTGTAGAACTTCAGATCTTGACAACACCATCATTTGCATAAAAAATTAATTCATTGTGAGTAATCAGAATGAGTTCAGGGACATTGGGCGTGAGTATTGGTAAGATAATTTGGTCCATATTCTCTTTCTCGTACACTGTCATTTGGGGTTGAAGATTTGCCATTTGTTTTAAGAATCGATTTCGATAATCTACCACATCATCATGCTCATGGCCATCGAAGTAAATGTTTTTTGAATGATCCTTATAATCCCAACCAAGCTGGTATAACCACGCCCGAGCCATTTTTATAGAGATTATTTTTTTGGTTTCAATTCCCAGAAAAGGTATAGCTTCCTCAATAAACTTAATGAATTAGGAGACAGTTATCATAAACTTGTTCACGTACAAATATTCAGTAATGTGTGATTTGAAATCTTTGTCCATCAATGGCGACCTAATTTTTGAGTGACAGCCATGACGTGAGGTGAGAATTTCATCTTTGCTCAACTATTGATTGGCCCATGAATGAATAACCCGCGCATGTCATGGACCCCGATTAATACTACTGGTGAAAAGATTACTAGCTAATAGCTTGGAAAAGCCTTGATCTTGGATGAGGTGAAGAAATTGGCTCATTATATTAAGCCATACATCAGATTTTTTCCTTAATAAGATGTCAAGAGATGTTAAAGTAAACATGTTGTCATCTTCATCACTAGAATTGACCATTTCGAATGGGAGCTCGTAATTATCATCTTCATCACTAGAATTGATCATCTCGACTGTTTTAGAAAATCAGTTGGTGATTTTGTTAGAACCTGAGGCTGCCTTTCTCAAGGTTGCTTTTTTATTGCATATTGTTGATTTAGCAAAGCCTGTATAAAATTGCTTTCTCCCTTTCATTATCTACGCATTCGATTGCCTTGCATTCTTAACGAGTTCCTCTAGCACATTTAGTTGCATTCCTTCTAAATCTTCTACAAATTTGTCATCATCAAAAGGCCCATCCATCAAAATAGCATCAAAGGTTTGCTCTTCATCGCTTGATTCATTGGCATCCAATATCTCTTTCTCATGTTTTAATTCAGTATCGTTCTAGCACTTCTTGGTGGCTGCTAAGCAGTGTCTATTACGCTTGCTTCATTTTGGCATGAGGCTAAAAGTGCGTTCCAAACTGAAGAATTAATGATAGGGCGAGGAGACGGAAGGTTATAATATTAGTAATTATACAGCGGGGAATGGAAGGTTATAATATAGCAAGGGGAGATTGGGGAAAGAGACAAAACTGGCACTATTAAATAGAAAAGCAGAGAACCAGAGTTTCCTAAATAAATTTCAAGTCTCTTAAATAATTTGAGCCTCCTGAATGACATAAAAGCAACTTAAAAATAGCTCTTAAACGGCTCTTAAATGGCTCTTTGATGGCTCTTTGATTTATTACTTTGACGCATTTCGTAATTATTAAGTCAATCACATGATCAAATCATATGATTTGATCATGTGATTTATTATTTTATTAATACGATAATAACCCCCTACCAATATAATATTATGTAATACTCGCATATCAAATTTCAGCGGTGGCGCAGCATTTGATGTCTTTAGACTGCTCCCACCATAGTCTGTATCCAATTCCTAAGCTTTAACTATAACCCCCCCTAAAGAAAAATTACCTTTTAATAGTTTCCTGCTCAAATATGATTAGCGCATTCTTATTGGTTGGTTATCATGTGATTAGTAACTGAGCACAGATTATAATTACGCCTTGTTGAGATTACCTTGTGCTTTAAATCGAACTATTATAGTTTTCGTAAAAGCTATCACGGGAGACCCTTAAACAATTAGAGAATCGCTCTTCTTGTAAATCATTTAGTCTAAGCTTTCCTAGCGATTAGTTATGTTGTATTTCCTTCTTTAGAAGGTAATGAAAAAATAGACAAAATCTCAGTCAATAATATCGGCTTTTTCCGTGTTCCTATCTCAATCCGAGACAAACGTAGATTTTCACACTAACTTTAATGTCCTACGCTTCGCTTCAGAGAATGGTTTACTGTACAATAGCGATAAAGGCTGTGCACAAAGGCTGTGCATAAAGGCTGTGCATAAAGGCTGTGCATAAAGGATGTACAAAAATGATGTAAAATATATGTAATAGGTAGCACGTGTAGAATGATAATATAACCAAATTTGAAAAGCAGTTTTCGATAAATAACAGAGGTTAAAACTAATGAGAAATAAAAAATCAAACCATGAAGTCTGTTCTAAAGATTTTTTTATGTTTCTTGTTGTTACTTGTGTTCTATGAAGATATTTTTGTTGCTGGTTGGGGAAGTGTGTATTACTATTTAATTTTGATAACATAATATTGACGTTTCAGATAAGAAATTGAGACTTACATAAGTTTTTATAGAAATTAGAAGTACACCAAAAAAAAAGATATTTATAATGACTTCGCTGGACGTGCATCCAAATCTACGGCCGTAGCACGTGGATTCAAAAAAAAAGATATTCTATAGACGTGCACCCAAATCTGGGGCCGTACTATGTTGAAAGACAATTACAAAGTTCTTGCATCTTAAGTCATTCACAGCTAGGAATCATTTTTTGAAACCACGATTAAATTAAATTTCAATTTTTTATACGCAAAGCATGGAAACAAAATTTTTTCATATAAAAATTGTGGGAAAAATTTTATTTTTTTTTTCTTTTACAGCTTTCAATTTAAATTGCCATCGGTCTTGTATCATTTTCTAAAAACATTATTAAAGTGATGAAAAATCATGAATATGTATATAACTTGAAATTTTCCATTTTTTTCATTTTACTATATAATGTTGAACCGGGAAATACTTTTTGGGGATACTGTATAGCCAAACTGTGGACGAAACCAGCTAACCAAAGAGAAAACACGTGTAAATTGAAAACGTATACTCAAATCTCATGCGAACGTTATTCTAAAACGTGTTAGGATAAAATGTCATGTAGATATAGTAACAATTTGTAATGTTTATGTTTTTATTATTATATCTATTTCAAATACAATCAAATTTCGATAAGACGACATAGCGCGAATTAGTGAAAATTAATTCCCAATTATCATGTGAGCATGTTTAATGATTTACTGTCATCGTCTTTGAAAATTTTTAGTTTTAATTTATCTTATAAATTATTTGCTAATAAATCAATAGAATTTCTAATAAATTATTCTTTTATTTTTATAATTTATTTTTAATTTAAATTTTCATAATTTAATTAATAAATTGTTCTGCAATAGGAGATTCAAAATGTATAAAGGATAGTTAGGTAAAGTGTGCTTTGAAGTTTGATTTCTATAATTGACTTATTTATTTGTATGCAAAAATCTCTATATACCGTAAATTCCCGAAAATAAAAAACCAATTCTGTGTTCTAACAAAAATGTCCCTTGCGAAAGTTTACTATACATTTTATACACAAGATACACAATAAACCTTAAATCTGACTCTTAACAAAAATGTTATAAACATTTCATGCTGTTTGTTTGATTTACCCTGATTTTTTCACCATGACTAGGGCACTCGGATTATATTGTATATCGTGCACACAGGAACGTATAATAAAATTTCACAATGAACATTTTTTGTTAGAACACAAAAAGTGGCTTCATAGACAAAATTTTGAGTCACAAGCTATTTTTCAAAAATTAACATTTATTTTATAAACATTGATCTATCTTGTAATTTAATTCGGTTTATCTCTTAAAATCACATGAAACAGAGATTTTTTCGCCAAGGCTAGAATACTCTTGGAACTGAATTTTTAGGGGGTTGCTTATTTTCGGACACTTTCCAAATGCTTAATTTCTATTGATTCAAGTGCGAAATTTTTTTGTTGTAATTTGCATAACGATAATAAAAAATCAAGGATCATTAATTTAAAAATTTCAGTAATTTTGGGACATCAAACCATAAAAAAATCATTTGATACATCTAGATAGATCAAATAGTGTTACATTGAGATATCATAGCTCAAAATTACAAAATTTTTTATGAGATCTTTATTTTTTGGAAAAATCAATTATTAAAAAGAGATTATTTAACTTTTTTTAAGATTTTTGAACAAACCAGTAAGGATTGCTTATTTTGAAAAATTTCTTATTCTTGAAACTTTTGGTAATTATCTTTAAATCAAATTATCTAAATTTATAAATAGATTATTAATTAGATTCTTGATTCTAATTTAGAAAAATTAATTAACATTATTTGAATTTTTTTCTAAAAAAGCATTATTACAAATTAAATTTTTTAAAATATAATTAATAAACTTGTTAAATTATAAATTTTCTGAATTCTAATATTTTATTTATTAATTTAGTATTATATAGATTATTATTATAATAGATAAAGATTATAAATTTAAAAAATAATTAATATTATCTAATATAGGTTAGTACAAAAAGTTTTGTATCTCAAAAGAAAAGGAAATAATTATTATAATACAAAAATAATACATAATAAACAAAATCAGCCCATATTTACAGATTTAATAGTATATATTTACAAGTTTACATCTTCTAAATTTTATTATTTTCCAATGCTTTCTTTCTAAGAAAAATGAAGTGATGTGTTACTTATAAAGAAAATTGATAATAATCAATACCTACAAATACTTTTCTAAGACTACTTCAGATTATAAGTAATATTAGAAGCTCGTATTATGCAAGCAAGTTGTTTTGATATTGGATATTGCAAAGAGTATAGTTAGAAGTATAGTAACAGACTTGAACTGAAATAATGATAACTCTTTTTTGACATTTAAAATTTTTGAATGATCTAAATTACAACTAGATAAGAAAATTAAAATTCTTTTATGAAATTATATTATTGAAAACAATAATATCAGTAGACAAATTTTGACTCTAATTATATAATAGCATTTTCTAAATATTAATTTATTTGAATATTATATTATTTGGATTATTATTATAGCTGAAAAGAATATAAAAATATTTTTTATAAGTTATTAAATAATATTATATTCTATTGTCATTATATTCATCATTATATAATCAATCTAGAAAGCAAAAACAATATTTTATATCATTTAGAAGTTTTTCTTGACAAGTTTTATTGTTAATTAAATTATATATACTTTAAAATGTGACTTCTCCAAAAAGATATTATCTTAATATAGGGATATAGTTTACTATTAGTAATTTTTGATATAATTATTATGTTTTAAAATAGCTCTATTAATAAGATATATAATAAGCATATTTCAAATTCTGTTTATCTCTGGAATTCTGTAATCAAATCTTCAGGAACTTAAGAATAAAGCAAGAAAATACTGAAGAATAGAATATATTCTGAATATTATTAAAAATATAAATATTATTTCAAATTAAATAATTAATAAAAAACATAATATAATAAATATTTACATGAATAATATATATAATTACAAATAATAAATCAAGAATATTCTAATATTAACTACAAAAAAAAGAAATAATTAACTAGCTTACTAATCACTATATATCTTTTTCAAATGAATTATACAAATTTAAACTTCTTGAGCTAGTAAAAAAAATAAGAAATAGATTTTATTTACTTTTATTAAAATAATTAGATAATACAATTATTAAGATTTTTTTATTTCTTCTTATCATTATGAACTTTAGTTAATTAAGAATATATAAATAATAATAAAAGATAAGATAGCAAGTTTTGATTTATATTTAAATTATTAATTATTAGTATTTTATATATTTTTAAAGAAAAAATAGATTTACATATAATAATTGATTATAAAAGAGTATTTACAAGAATAAAAGAATATAGAAAAACTAATAAAAATATAGTTTTATTAGATAAAGAAAATAATAATGATAATAACTTTGATAATAATAATAAATTTTAATATAATTTTTATATTATAATATTTTTCAATATATATTAGTTTATTTCATAAAAAAATAAAAACTATATATAAATTTTTTTATTAATTATAATCTGAAAAATAAATCTTTTTAAATTAATCTATATTAATAATTATAAATTTATATAAAATCTTTATAAATATAAAAGATAATATAATACTTAATTAATTAAAATTATAAATTTATATAAAGTATTTATAAATATAAAAATAATATAATACTTAATTAGTATTATTTTAAAATTACAATAATAAGTTTTAACTTTATTAATAAAATATTATATTATATTTTATTAATATAATTAATTATTTTAAAATTAAAATTATTAATTAATTAATATTAGATAATTAGTTTTTATCTGATATTTTTATTAATAAATTATTATAAAAATATAAAAATAAGTAGTTTATATAAATTTTCTATTACTTATTTATATTACTATAATATATTATAATATAATAAATAAATATAATATTTTTTAGTTTGAAATATATAAATAAAATCTTATAAAGCTAAATATAATTTATAATTATTTATTTAAAAAACTAATAAATTATTTTAAAATTATATATAAATTCTAATTTTTAAGTTATTTATATAATAATAATAATAATAATAATAATAATAATAATAATAATAATAATAATAATAATAATAATAATAATAATAA